ACTACCCTAATATCCACACAGGATACAAACAGGTACCTGCCTTTATACTACCCTAAAATCCACACAGATCCAAACAGGTACCTGTCTTTATACTACCCTAATATCCACACAGGATACAAACAGGTACCTGTCTTTATACTACCCTAATATCCACACTGGATAGAAACAGGTACCTGCCTTTATACTACCCTAATATCCACACAGGATACAAACAGGTACCTGCCTTTATACTACCCTAATATCCACACAGGATCCAAACAGGTACCTGTCTTTATACTACCCTAAAATATCCACACAGGATCCAAACAGGTACCTGTCCTTATATACAAACTACCCTAATATCCATACTACCACACTGGATCCAAACAGGTACCTGTCTTTATACTACCCTAATATCCACACAGGATACAAAATTACCTGTCTTTATACTACCCTAATATCCACACTGGATAGAAACAGGGTACCTGCCTTTATACTACCCCTAATATCCACACTGGATACAAACAGGTACCTGCCTTTATACTACCCTAATATCCACACAGGATCCAAACACCTGTCTTTTATACTACAAAACAGGTACTAAACGACAAACAGGTACCTGTCTTTATACTACCCTAAAATCCACACAGGATCCAAACAGGTACCTGTCTTTATACTACCCTAAAATATCCACACAGGATCCAAACAGGTACCTGCCTTTATACTACCCTAAAATCCACACAGGATACAAACAGGGTACCTGCCTTTATACTACCCTGAAATCCACACAGGATACAAACAGGTACCTGCCTTTATACTACCCTGAAATTCACAAGGATACAAACAGGTACCTGCCTTTATACTACCCTGAAATTCACACAAGGATACAAAGAGGTACCTGTCTTTATACTACCCTAATATCCACACAGGATCCAAACAGGTACCTGCCTTTATACTACCCTGAAATTCACAAGGATACAAAGAGGTACCTGCCTTTATACTACCCTGAAACTCACAAGGATACAAAGAGGTACCTGTCTTTATACTACCCTAATATCCACACAGATCCAAACAGGTACCTGCCTTTATACTACCCTGAAATTCACAAGGATACAAAGAGGTACCTGCCTTTATACTACCCTGACATTCACAAGGATACAAAGAGGTACCTGCCTTTATACTACCCTGAAATTCACAAGGATACAAAGAGGTACCTGCTTTTATACTACCCTGAAATTCACAAGGATACAAACAGGTATCCATACATTGTACCCTAGAATCCACATAAACTGACGTACAAAGGAAAGTACACAGCTGGTGCTTTTGGATTACTTTCCAAAAAGCGACGTAAATGTTTTGGAAATAGTTTTTACAGTGATATATAAGTCACAGACTTCCCTAATATGTTGCCAAAACACCACAGATACCCTGCCCAATTGCGAAGTTGCCAGTCAAAATCACAACACATTTTCAAATAATCCCAAAACACCAGGTGTGTACTTTCTTTAGTACATCAGTTTTAGAATATATGAGGTATCTGCCTCTATTCTACCCTAAACTCCACACAGGATACAAGCATTGTAGTCTGTCTGCAGTGAAAACCTACCGGTGTGTACTTTCTTTAGTACATCAGTTTTAGAATATATGAGGTATCTGCCTCTATTCTACCCTAAACTCCACACAGGATACAAGCATTGTAGTCTGTCTGCAGTGAAAACCTACAAAGATACAAAGAGGTACCTGCCTTTATACTACCCTGAAATTCACAAGGATACAAAGAGGTACCTGCTTTTATACTACCCTGAAATTCACAAGGATACAAACAGGTATCCATACATTGTACCCTAGAATCCACATAAACTGACGTACAGAGGAAAGTACACAGCTGGTGCTTTTGGATTACTTTCCAAAAAGCGACGTAAATGTTTTGGAAATAGTTTTTACAGTGATATATAAGTCACAGACTTCCCTAATATGTTGCCAAAACACCACAGATACCCTGCCCAATTGCGAAGTTGCCAGTCAAAATCACAACACATTTTCAAATAATCCCAAAACACCAGGTGTGTACTTTCTTTAGTACATCAGTTTTAGAATATATGAGGTATCTGCCTCTATTCTACCCTAAACTCCACACAGGATACAAGCATTGTAGTCTGTCTGCAGTGAAAACCTACCGGTGAATTTCACTTTAAACAAAAATGTAAATCGAATACAGTGAATTAAGATTGCGAATCCTCATAATTCTACCTTGCCAATTTAAAAATTAAATCTTAGATTTTTATTCAACTTAGGAAAAAAGTTGTTTAACAAACAATCATTGTTTCAAACTGCTTATATTTGTTTGTATTACAAGGGGGTAAGCGCAGTAGTTGGAACAGTGAAACAAATGCACGTGCGGTACGTGATGAGCGTTAACTTAGACCAACCCTCCTTGTTCTCGGCGTTTCATTTAATGTGCATACCCCCTTGTAATACAAACCAATAATATCAAATTTGAAACTATGATCGTTTGTTAAACAACTTTTATCCTAAGTTGAATAAAAATCTGAGATTTAAATTTTGAAATGGCGAGGTAAAATTATAGGTATTTGCTATCGGTTCTCAGAAAACGTAGTAACTTGCACCTTTCACGCTATTTGCTATACTCGTGCTATATTCCACCCTGAATGATCTAGAAAACCGATGGGTGACAGCCGGAGCTACGACTGCACTGTCGGGGTGTGATGGCAAAGAATTAACACTCAAGAACACGGCACCTACACTAACTGATTATATACGGTCCAGTCAATAGCTCAGAGTCTATCTTAACGGGGAATACACACGCCGAGTTTCCGCGTTTTTCAAATTACATAATAGGATATTGGATTCTTAATTGCCGGATACTGCTGTGAACGAATAGTAAATCACACAACACTATTGATGTGGATTGCATATCTTATGCAAACATAATGCAACACATCAAAACCGCTGAACTGTCGAACTCTGAACATCCTTGGAGCAGCTCCGACTGTAACTCCAGGCAAGATTTACACTCCTATTCGAAATACTCTCAAAGAAGGTAGAGGTGTCGCGTAATGTAGGGTGCGTGTCAACTCGCCGTGAGCATATGTGAAACGTGACAGATGGCTATTACACTTTAATAGCCATATAATGGCCAGCCAATGGCTGCTTAATAATGGGAAGATTACATTCTAATGGATGCTGTTAAACTTCACGCGTGTAATGATGTGATAGAGCTCGCAGCAAAAGCAGCAAATTTTGTCACACACCGTCACAGCTGAAGTTCTTTTTCAAGGATAGATCACTATTTGATCACGTGTCTTGTAATTATTGCTAGATAAACGTATTGACGGTCTGTTAATACGCCAAGTCCGCGTATGTTTCATACCAAATTTAACATTTATTAAGGAAAACATACTACAACATCGACCAAAACTAACTTGTCCTGAACCTTTTTTGCATGCACAAATAGGTCACGATTTCGAATTTACTGAGTAATTATTCATTTTTGAATTTACCCGTTTTGGTGTAGCCAGTGTGGCGATCAACGTTCATCACAAATGTGAATTACACTTAAAGTGATTGAGAGCGCGACATGATACAAATGATTCACATCAACCAAACAATATCTTGCGGAAAAGAGCACTTGAGAGTTTTTAAGTTGTCCTGGGTACAATTCAGCTTCCTGTTATACAACATCAGCATGGTAGATGTTTTAAACTGCTAATGAAAGGAAAGCATATACCAATGTTTGTTTGGCAAAAATTGAAACAAACGAAGCAAGAATTAAACCGTGGTGGATGTTGGATACTGGTATGATAGTTGCAGTGTTATTGGCAGGTGTTAAAGTCTGGTAACGTTTTAATGACGTTTGCAATTTTGGGGTCAGATCCAGTGTTTAAGTGAATACTTATTAATTAATTTTGCCCGATAGATTCTATCCATGTTTTGTTTTGTTTTGTGAAGTACCATCTGGAAGCATAAGCAGAATATTGCATAACTCTTTCTGATTTCTAAACGACTACTAAACGTTAACGGCGAGCAGGGCACTTTTCGTCCAGAACAGGACAGTCCAATCTCTGGAGATACCTGCAGTCCACTTCAAACCATAATTGAAACATTCAGGCGTTACCGAGGTAAATTAGGAACCAAGTGCTACGAAAAAGGTAGACAGAGGAGGTTCGAGACGTTAACAAATGTGACCTGAATGGTTTTCCGTTATCACATGCCACAAGGCGAGGTGAAAAGAAACGGGATTAATGTCATCTTCGGGATTATTATATTCATATATGCATGCAGGTGCGTGCGTGCGAGCGTACGTGTATCTGCATGTAGGTCGGTCTAACGCCATAACAACGCTAACCCACTGAGGTGTCATGCTGCAATTTAACACAGATATTCCACTCCGACACAATATACTGACCCCTGTCAGTCTTTGTCCGATCCGACCCGTGAAGTTCCCGGGTAGAATAGGTCTTCAGCAACCCATGCTTGCCACAAAAGGCGACTATGCTTGTCGTAAGAGGCGACTAACGGGATCGAATTGGTCAGGCTCGCTGGCTTGGTTGACACATGTCATCGGTTCCCAATTGCGCAGATCGATGCTCATGCTGTTGATCAGTGGGTTGTCTGGTCCAGACTCGATTATTTACAGACCGCCGCCATATAGCTTGAATATTGCTGAGTGCGGCGTAAAACTAAACTCACTCACTCAGTCTTTGTCCGACCCCTAACATGCCTAGCACCAGGCAGGGTAACAATAAGTGTCATGTTTTAACGCATTTTGGTTTGACGCAGGCAGTGATCCAGTCATCTGGATTCCTCTCTCCGGGCACATGCTTTGTCCAGTAGGCTACTGAGGAGGTGTGTACCAGCGTACCAGCGGTGTGCCTTGTTGCTCATGCAGTCAACCACTAGTTTCCATTAGCGAGTCGATTCATATTGAATACAGCTAACATCGCCAAACTAACTCCATTGATGACGTCAAAACCAAGGATAAACAAGACCGAATAACCTGATGTGGATGATAACATGACTTTGAGTTTATTGAGCTTGTCAACTCATATATACATACATAGAATCACATACATGAAATGCGTTGAATAAATTTACAATGAAATGATATGACTTGTGAAGTAATGACAATATCTCACAATGATGATGATGATGACCAGGGGATGATAAAGCGAGTATAAGTACATATGAACATGATGTGTATTTCAAACGATCAGTCTACAATCGGTTGACATTCCGATTATCAATGACAATTACAACGACAGAGACACGTGGCCCCAACAATACAGACAGATAGACAGATTTCATTTACATATCTACAATGAACACAAAACTGGCTGTAATTTTCACCAAGGGTTGCATTCTTCGTAACTAATACCATGCAGCTTGAGTGAGTGAGTATGGTTTTACGTGGCTATAAGCAAAATTCCAGCAATATCACGGCGGGGGACGCCAGAAATGGGTTTCACACATTGTACCCATGTGGGGAATCGAACCCGGGTCTTCGGCGTGACGAGCGGACGCTTTAACCACTAGACTATCCCACCGCCCCCTTTTAACGACTCATGCAGCTTGAATTATATTCAGCATCGATACATCGTTATTGGTTTTTCAATACCACTGAAAATCTTCAAAACTTCTAAAGCCCGATTCATTGAAAGCTGTAGGATACTAGCCTTCATTGCATTTCATACATTGTTGGTTCAGTTTTTAGTCTTTGTGGACTCGTTTGTTTTTACCACGTTTCAATGTCAGGTTTAATATATTTCAACTGTAAAACATTTTTATTTGAGGCGACATTCGTTGAGATATGTTTTAATGTTAACTGCATGTTTTTAAAACGCTGCCATCAGAAAACTATGCTTGTGGGAACGACGTATTTCAAACCGATAACAATGCGTCTGATTAAGTAAAATGTAGAAAGTTACATATACAGCACATCGTATATTCTCCGATTATTTATTAATAAGTAGATATCTTTTGACCGTCGAGTTCAACATGATTATCAAATAACTGAGATATAATCGTAGATCATCAATGCAGTTGAATTATGTTAAAACATCTGTGTGTTTTACCATATGTGTTAAGGGCGGGATATGTGCACGAATAAATACTAAACAAATGATTGATATGCAATGTTGCACCAAACATTTCAGCGACAGGAGCACATTCACTGGTACAAGTTGTATGCAAAGTATAAACACATAAAGTAGGAAAATATAAGGCCCTATATCACCTGGCCAACTCAGAACTATACAAATTAAAGCACTCATTTCATCTCCGTATTTGCATACATTCATAAAACATTAAAATGAATTTGTTCACCATGGTTCGGGAAACCCCCAAACATTTCTTACAGATGAAAGCATCGTTCAAATACAAACCTACCATACACTTGAATAGCTGCTTAAATATCTACACTGGAACACATTTTCTTGCAAATGTTACAATAATATTTAGTCTGATTTTAATGACACCCTGAGGATATTTACAATTTGTTAAAATTTATTTTCCTTACTGTACGCCCACAGTGATAATGCCGAGCAAAGAATTTTCGCCTCGTCAATAGAAACTTATGTTGTCTGTTCTCGAAACTGAAATGCCTTTATCCAAATTAGCACTCTATGAAATATTGCTTCTAATACACTCCCCAAACTGTCCTCATTGCATCGCTGTTTTACTGTCACTAACATGCACGCAGCATCGGAATGTACGAAAAGTGTTTTAATGTCAGAATGCAAATCACAAATGAATTATAAATGTTCCTTACATTTTGACAAACATATTTATGAATTAAATTTGAACTTAGATTACAACCAGTTGAGAGAAAACGGATTCAACATAGGATATGTTTGGACGACAAAATGTGTACCCTAACTGTGGTATTGACCACGTTTAAATAAAAAGGTATAGGTTTATCTACAACATATAACTCTTTGGCACATTCTTAACATCAGCTACAGAAGTACAAACTATAGCTGAACATTTATGTTGACTAATAAACAACGACAAATATAATTTATATATAGTACCGTAGTGAAGTTCGTTGTTTCATGTTTGTGTTCTTGTGATGCATTGCACCCATCGGTGATCACCCAAAGTTGGAACCCTTTCTACAATATGTCACATAAATTTTCTGGAACATCAACGTCTGGGTTATATATTAGTACTTTTTTCATTACAGACTCAAATATACATAAATACATTCACCGTCAGGCTATGTGGTAAAACGTTGCCTCCCTGGTTTCTTGGACCCTTGGTCCTTCAAATATCACATTTAATCTCCCGCTTGTTACCAATGTCGTACTGACACTAGGTAGTTATTGTCTTGTACGTGTCTGTTCATCAAACCAAATGTCATAGTAAACGCACCGGACTATCCTGACATCTAATTCTGGAAGCCTAAGTTCACATAAGGTGATGATGCTTCATTTTCATAAACTTGTTCATCTTCTTGTTCCCAGCTTCCGCCAACAACCGCTTTTGTGTTGACATAGATGTCCTCGGGTTCCGCTTCTGGTGTTGGCTCGTCCTGTGCGACTTCTTCGACTTTTGCTTTCCGACTCTTCTTCTTCTTCTGCTTGTTTGACGCCTGGGCACCTTTAGGAACCGCTGGAGCTGCTGGTAGCTGTTGGATCTCTCTGGCCTCCTGGTTCATCCGGTTCAGGTTGATTGTAGCTAGGTTGGAGTATGTGCTTTCCATCTCTATTGGCACAGCCACCTGAGTCAAAGGATATCAGTCAGTGAGTTGGTGTGGATGGATGTTTGGTGCAGTGTGGTGTGTTGTAGTAGTTGGTGCAGTGTGGTGGTTGTGCTGTGGGTGTAGTTGTTGGTGTAGTTGGTGAGGAAATGCTGTGGGTGTAGTTGAGGAGTGGTGCAGAGGAAATGTTTGGGAGGAGGGGGAAGAGTGCAGTTGTTTGATGTGGATGTGGATGCGAATGTGGATGTGGATGCGGATGTGGGTCTGGATGTGGGTGTGGATGTGTGTGTGTGTGGATGTGGATGTGGGTCTGGATCTGGATAAGGATGTAGAGGTGGATGTGGGTATGAATGTGGATGTGGGTCTGGATGTGGGTCTAGATGTGGATGTGGATGTAGAGGTGGATGTGGGTCTGGATGTGGATGTGGGTATGGGTGTGGGATGATGGTGTGGGTATGGATGTGGATGTGGGTCTGGATGTGGGTCTAGATGTGGATGTGGATGTAGAGGTGGATGTGGGTCTGGATGTGGGTGTGGATGTGGGTGTGGGTATGGATGTGGATGTGGGTCTGGATGTGGATGTGGATGTGGATGTAGAGGTGGATGTGTGTCTGGATGTGGGTATGTGGTGTGGATGTGGTGTGGGTGTGGGTATGTGGGTGTGGGTATGTGTGGTGTGGGTATGGATGTGTCTGATGTTGATGTGTATGGATGTGGTATGGATGTGGATGTGGAGTGATGTGGAGTCTGGATGTGGATGTGAGTGTGGATGTATGGATGTGGATGTGAGTCTGGATGTGGATGTGAGTCTGGATGTGGATGTGAGTCTGGATGTGGATGTGGATGTTGATGTGGATGTGTGGGTGTGTGTGTGGGTGTGGGTGTGGGTGTGGGTGTGGGTGTGGATGTGGGTGTTAGTGTTGTTATTGGTTTGGGTGTATCTTATGAATTATTGCCCATGATAAGTGTGTGCAAACACAAATAAAGGTTGCCTGGATACAGCAGGAATATTGCTGAGCATTCACAAGTTTATCGACACACTTACCTTATTTTGTATAGTTGGATCTCTGGTATACCGCAACACCTTGTCCTGTCCTTGCTGGATCTTGGTGGACATGTCCTTCATTTTGTCCCCAAGTTCTCGTAATCAGGATTCTTGTCTTCTCTTTCCGACATCCCCGATTCTGCGTCTGAAGACGAGTCTTGTGTCTGCAAAATATAGCGTTGTCGTAGAAAATACTCTGGCAAACTAATGTAGAACGATTACCTTGTGACTTGAATGGACCTGGTTAAAGAAGACAAAGGAAGAGACTTACAATTTAGGGTAGCGCTATTTACGTTTCCTTTAGTAATGTTTAATAAACACAACGTCGAAAATACAAGTTAAATTCGGACTTAACATTGAAGTCCGTTCAAAACCAACTTATTTTTGTACACAAGACCGGGTATTTGATGTTCTGTGTTGTGTGAGAGTAGTTGAGGCGGAGTGTGTTGTGTGCTGTGGGGTGTGGGGTGAGTGCTGTGTGCGATAGTTTGTTGATGTGGTCTTGTAGCTGTGGGCTTTAGGCTGTGGCCTGTTTTTCTGTTGTGGGTTATATGGCTATATGGCGTTTCAACATATAGGATGCATGATGAGTGGTGCCAGTTTCACCAATTTTCGGAAATCACACTCATTTGGGCATGTTTGGACTTCTGTTATATCTCAGTCCTTTAAAATGTCCTTTCGTTTATTTGTATGACATAATATAGCACACACCACATAGTATATCATTATTTGAGAGGACGATCCTGGATGGATGTAAGGATATAAATGGCATATCCCAAACAATTTTGCCTCAGGTCTTACAAAAACAAGGACATTATTCGCTAGTCTTGCTGGGCGGCCTGGGATGAAAGTGGTTGTTTGCTGAACATACCCAATCCCTAATCGCCCTGATTAATCTGCACCAATCATGTGTTTGTGGGCTTCACTAAGACCTGCAACGATCTGGACATGTCTCCATCCGTAAGCTGATATAACAGGAATAGATTCAAAGTGGGGCTATACCCTATTCATAATGTAATACAAATCCAAACTGCGTGTTACTCAATTCGTATCAGTCATGTGTACTCATTTCTGTCGTATCAGTCATGTTTACTCTCTGATGTATTATCTGTCATGTTTACTCACTTCCGTCGTATCAAGCATGTACTCTCTTCCGTCGTATCAGACATGTTTACTCTCTGATGTAGTATCAGTCATGTTTACTCACTTCCGTCGTATCAAGCTTGTACTCTCTTCCGTCGTATCAGTCATGTTTACTCTCTTCTGTCTGTATCAGTCATGTTTACTCATATCATCATGTTTACTCACTTCCGTCAAGCATGTATCTGTCATCAGTCATGTTTACTCTCTTTCTGTCGTATCAGTCATGTTTACTCTCTGATGTAGTATCAGTCATGTTACTACTTCCGTCGTATGTCGTATCAGTCATGTTTACTACTCTGATTATCAGTCATGTTTACTTCACTCAGTCATGTTGTATCAAGCTATCAGTCATGTTTCAGTCACTCTCTGATGTTATCAGTCATGTTTACTCACTTCCGTCGTATCAAGCTTGTACTCTCTTCCGTCGTATCAGTCATGTTTACTCTCTTCTGTCGTATCAGTCATGTTTACTCTCTGATGTAGTATCAGTCATGTTTACTCACTTCCGTCGTATCAAGCTTGTACTCTCTTCCGTCGTATCAGTCATGTTTACTCTCTTTTTACTGTCGTATCAGTCATGTTTACTCACTCCCGTCGTATCAAGCATGTACTCTCTTCCGTCGTATCAGTCATGTGTACTCATATCAGTCATGTTTACTCATATATGTCGCATCAGTCATGTTTACTCATATCTGTCGTATCAGTCATGTTTACAAATATATGTCGCATCAGTCATGTTTACTCATATATGTCGCATCAGTCATGTTTACTCATATATGTCGCACCAGTCATGTTTACTCTCTGCAGTGGGATCAATCGTGTGCACACTCCCGCCATAACAACAATCTTCCCTTCGTTATGTCACATCCATCATGTTTACTCACATTTGACATGTCATCGGCATTCCTTTCCAGCGCGCTCTGTACAGGGTCTGCAGGTTTTCTTCGACACACACAAACGATGACAACAACAACGACCACAATCAGCACCACGCCGCCAACAGCGCCGCCCACCACGGCCGCCACAGGGAATGGTTCGGAAGCGTTGGATGAAACGCACTGGCCATTCTTCAGCGAGAACGACTTCATACAGGTAAAACATCCAGCGGCACTGCAGTTGTAGCAGCTGTCTGTGCACCTCCTGCAGTAAACTGTTGGGGTCGAAGTGGACGAAGTTGACGTTCCTTCGCTGTCACTGGTGTTGAAGGTCATCTCTGTTGTGGCATCTGTAGAAGTGTCATTACTTGAGTCTGTGGAATTAAAGCTGTCGTCGTCATCGGGTATTTCTGTACTGGGGACCGACGTTGAGAATGTGTCACATTGTGGTACCTTGTAGTACCCGGCTGGACATTGAGTGTACGTTGAACAACATGTCTGTGTTCTGGTACTGTCGCAATCCTGTGCTTGTGCAGATGGCCCCTGAAAACACAGGTAAAAGATCAATGTGACAAGTGACAAGTGACAAGTTTTATTTGCATTAGAGGCCTCATGGCCCATAGTGCTAAGATACAACACTCATCATACAGTGCCCAGGATACAACGATATACAATGCAAGACCACTTAACATAAAACATTTCTTTTGAGGAACAATTATATACTCTATCCTTACAGAATATGTTATTGACGTTGATGAGGCAAATTCGGCATGGGATGGATTTTTATAATATGGTGTACAGACAGTTCTCTACATGTCTTATAATAAGGACATAACAGAAATGAAATTCATCTTCAACAGATCAGGCATTACACTTCGCGCATAACAGTTTGTCATGATCTTTCAAACAACGTAGTAACTACGTATATAGTACACTCTTAAAAGATCCTTTGACTGGAACAGCTCTGATGCATACTTCTTGCAAGTAATACAGTGCGAAAGATATATTGATATACAGTGCAAGACTAATTAACATGATACATTTCTTTAAGGAAAGTATAGGATCAATGTCATGTATGATAACTGATTTATATCCTATGCGATGTAGGCTGTTTCATACAGATCTACTGAAAGATAAAAGTAACAGTGATTGTATGAATCTATTGATACCTGAAACATACATACATATCAATTAGGATGTCATGGTTATATGTAATCAGTCTCGCCTTAAATTGTCTTCTCCCTTCAATCTTTTGTAATGAGAAATAAAAATAAACAGACACGTTATGATATAGTTGATAAAAACTCCGAAATTTGCTGGGCAGAACTAGAATTTGAAATATTGATTATTAAACTCTGAACTGACCAGGCAAACTCGTGGTAGAAAACTCAAGCAACGGTCCTCGCAATCTGGGTACATTAGCAGATCACCCCATTGAACTTGGTCCGTTACGAATAGCATCAGGGTAATTCTAACTGGGGTTGCCGCGTTGGAGAGGTAGCCCAACGGTTAACGAGCTTACTCGTTACGTCACTAAAAGGTACAATGAACAGCATTTCTGTGTTCGTGCGTGCGCGCGTGCGTGTGTGTATTTTTTCTTTGTTGTAATCAAAATGATGCAGGTCTGTTTGGTGATAACTGGGAACTACTGTTGGGACTTGGTTACAATCTCATAATTGATGATTGATTCATTACAACTGATCAATCATCAGAAATAATTGGTTAGCCTCATTTATCAAATTGTCCTGTTATGTTTGTTCATGCGCAGAAAAAACACAAAAACATGTAGTTCTTTGGGTTTGTTTAAATTTCAAATCTTTAAAGGATGACTAGTATTTTAGGAAAATACATTTCCTGTGGCCTTAAATTCAAGCATGACTAGGAACGAGTTTCATAATCGAGTTTGGGATTCGAAACAACGATCCGCGAATGCTGACACAATAATACTCTGCAGGCAACGTTTTTGCGCTTAAGACAACTTGGCCAGATGTCCCCATTGAGGAGTGATGTAGAGTAGGTGGTGTTTTAGCAAACATGTAGCAATATTCACCCATTGTTGGGAGCCTCGCGTGTTGCATAAATCAAAAGTGACCATCAAACATGAGTACATGCTCAGGTCTCCAGAACAGGTAATTGTTCTAAAACATGTCAGCTATAATTAACTTAGACTGGAATTCGAATTTCGAAATTGTATTCTATACTGATGGGAAATTTTTCAAGTATGTCAGATCGGATTCAAGTACGCCAGATCGGATTCGGGAAGTAACGCATCTGTTGGCCTCTACCGAATACTTCGCATTAGTATTACATTTTTCCATACTATTATAAAGGAGCTTGTTAAAATCGGATCTGGTTGTGAAATGTATATGCATCACCAGACCTTCCCTACTCTTCATCACCTATGGCCGCGGTCTATGTCCGCAATACTCTGTGTACAGCCGTGGCTTAGGCGTCTCTGTTTACGTATGATCGTCGATTTGAATAATTATTACAGATTGTGTCTTATTGTGTTTCGTCGTTTGTTGACAACATATGATATATTCATATTGCTGGTAATGAAAAGGATATTTACTGGAACGAACTACCGGTAACGATGATTAATTGATGTTGATATCTACATGTATAATTATATAATTATATATAATTTATGAGGTGCGACTTATATATAGCTTCAGCATCCAAAATGTTATTGGTATTGCCGTTGATACTGATAGTTCCCTTGATACTGATACTGCTGGAGTAGGATACATCTCACTTTGTCAGGGCCAGCTAATGGATATCGGCTGTTCCTAGCCTGTAACTTGGTTCACTGACCAGATCAGTGCTCTTACTATCAATCATTGGTCTGACTAGATATTTGGTTTGTAGATAAATGTTGCAAATACTTTTTAAACAGGATACTGACTTGAATACTGACACTGACACCTAACATGACACCTACACTTGCAACTACATTGACACATACAATGACACCTACGTATACATTAACACCGACACCGACACATTCCACTACTGACATTTATACCATATATTTTTTGCATCACCTGTATTACATATACACAGAGGGTGCATTTTGTCTTTTCTTATCAAATTTAATGTTTATCGCGTCGAACGATCTTAAACTGTAACCTTTTGGGCCAAACATGCAAACATATTTCAGAAAATATGTATATGCTTGTATTTTCTAAGCGACATCAGTGGTGTTACACTGGACACCATGGTGTCATCGAGGCAGACTGTAAGTACTTCAAGTGTTTCTATACTCGAGCGAAATAATAAATAATTTTTCATAGTTATAACATAGTGTTGTAAAGTCATTCCGAAATGCATAAACACATTATAGAGCCTTCAGCAGACACAATACAAAAGCTGTTGTTATAATCTACTGGCATGTAATATGTTTGAGCAGCTGGGTTTGTAAGAATGTTGACACTTTGTGTTTCATTAAAACAATATATACAATTATATTTTCATGATAGTGGTGATGACAATAGCTCAAACAATTACTTATTTATTAATATGAGAATACTATCAAGATAACACGGAAAAACACAATAAATAACAATCATAATGGTAAAACGAAAATCTCGGGAAATAGAAACTGGGAATACCGTCCAAAGTATTATTAACCGCGAGTGGCAAGTAGTGACGTGGCATGTCTGGATTAGTCAGAGAGATGTTCCTGTCACCGGATGTGAATCAACATTGTCAATAGGATGGTTAATCGAGATCTGAAGATTCAGTGCTGTACAATGCCCTGTTAAAGCTGGGACACAGTGTTATGAACTTCCGTCAATTGTGCAGTAACTGTTCCTAGAATGGGAAACACTATGACACCCACTACGCAGACCAATTAGACATTGCACTCTAGGAAAACGCTCCTTGTGGATTGGGGAATACAAGCCGTTACAGGAATTATTCATCTCCGAGAAAAGCTATTAAAAAGTACATTCGTCCAACCAGTGTGTGCCATCAGCTTTCATTGTATATCTGGTTATCTGTATGTCAAAATGTGTTAAACATGGTTAAATTGTTATGCTAAAGTTTAGATATTAACATCGACTCTTAAGATGCCGTCTACATATTTGAAGAAAGCTATGATTAAACGATCACTGTAATGACAGGATTTTATGCTAAGCAAGCAGGGCGCTGTTGTCAAAACAACCTTGGCGGTAAGACTACCTTAATTCTAGGATAAGGTATGGCAGTTACGGTCACCTTAGCGGTAAGACTACCTTAATTCTAGGATAAGGTATGGCAGTTACGGTCACCTTAGCGGTAAGACTACCTTAATTCTAGGATAAGGTATGGCAGTTACGGTCACCTTAGCGGTAAGACTACCTTAATTCTAGGATAAACCTTGAAGCGTAAGACTACCTTAATTCTAGTATGGCAGTTACGGTCACCTTAGCGGTAAGACTACCTTAATTCAAGGATAAGGTATGGCAGTTACGGTCACCTTAGCGGTAAGACTACCTTAATTCTAGGATAAGGTATGGCAGTTACGGTCACCTTGGCAGTAAGACTACCTTAATTCTAGGATAAGGTATGGCAGTTACGGTCACCTACCTTTAATTCGGTAAGACTACCTTTAGTTCCTAGGATAAGGTATGGCAGTTACGGTCACCTTAGCGGTAAGACTACCTTAATTCTAGGATAAGGTATGGCAGTTACGGTCACCTTAGCGGTAAGACTACCTTAATTCTAGGATAAGGTATGGCAGTTACGGTCACCTTAGCGGTAAGACTACCTTAATTCTAGGATAAGGTATGGCAGTTACGGTCACCTTAGCGGTAAGACTACCTTAATTCTAGGATAAGGTATGGTTACGGTCACCTAAGGTAAGACGCTTTGTAGACACATTCTGTATGGCAGTTACGATAAGACACCTTAATTCATTGATGACGTCCCATGCTCATTACTGAATAGATTACACTCTGATGACAGGTACATGCACTATGACAAGATCACACGCACAGATATATTGAGATACGCACAAGCAATATGCTGATGATACGTTGATAAAATATAAATTATCTGCTGTCGGCGCGAATATAAAATATAATAACATCACCTATGTTACGGATGACCAAAATTTGAGCCTTTAGATAATCGAACTTCTTTTCCCAGATACAAATGAGAACCAAGATATACAAAAAGTACCAAATGTTTCGCCTCCTCGATCATACATGGGGAGGTGGGGTGGTCTAGTGGTTAAAGTGTCACGCCGAAGACCCGGGTTCGATACTCCACATGGGTACAACGTGTGAAGCCCATTTCTGGTGTCCCCGTGATATTGTGGAACATTGCTAAAAGCGGCGTAATACTAAACTCACGTACTCGATCATGCAAAATATACCCCCAAATCTCCGTGTATGATAAAGCGTAGGACAACTCCTATCTATACAACAGAAAACAACGACCGCTAATAATAAATCAACTTGTTTAACACTATTAAACATGACAAAGTCTCAAAATATGAACAACAAAGCATAATTTATGCATAATTCCCCTACTAAACCCAATTTTTTTGTCCTGATCTT